GGTAGATATTTTATTTAATAATCTTGCTCACAGAGAGTATTTATGCCTCTTATGTAAGATGAATACAGGAAGACTATATGGATTTCTTTTTATTATTAAAATTTTTGTTTTGGGGCCACATCCAGTGATGCTCAAGCGAAATCTGCACTCAAGAATTAATTACTCCTGGCAGTGCTGGGGTAACACATGGATGCTGGGAATTGGACCCAGGGCATGCTAAGACAAGCACCCTACCCACTGTACTATTGCTGCAGTCTGGATTTTTCCATTGTTGAGTACTATTTTCCTGTTCTATTTATCTATAGTTCACAAATAAGTGAAAGCATCCAATATTTGTTCTTCTCACTCTGAGTTACTTCACTTAGCATGATGTCTTCCAGTTCCATCCATATTCTAGCAAAGTGCAAGATTTCATATTTTCTTATCACTTAATCACTTAACTTCCTGCTAGTCTTCGATTTGCTCAAGCGGGTGCCAGTAACGTCTCCATTCGTCCCTGTCGCGTGCCAGTGTAGCCCAATGGCATCTGTTCGCTCTGGGAACATGAAGAGCCTCAAACCGATCATTCATGATCTTAATGAAGAAGTCTGACCATCTGGTAGCTGGGCGGCCACGCGGTCACCAGTAATTACAACTGATCTCATTCACCTGACCCATTTTCTTATAGCAGAATAGAATTAATTTATGGCTATCCTTTTATAGGCTGTTAATCTAAAGAAACTTGGGAGAAAATGAAGAGAATTTAATTTTACTGCATTTTTAAAGGATTATTTCCGAAATCTGACAGGCCATCTCGCTGGTAAAGAAACAAAGAGCACCTGGCCCAGACAAGGTCAGACCTGAACACCTGAAGAACCTACCGTCAGTACTCATCAATACACTGGCTCAGCTCTTCACATACTACCTGTCTGAATGCAAAGTTCTGTCCCAATGGAAAGCCAGCAGTACTGTGCTACTATACAAGAAGGGAGATATCCACGACATTGGCAACTATCGCCCAATCTGCCTATTGTCTGTCATCGACTAGCTATTCACTCTAGTCGTCCTGAATAGGATTGGTAGAACACTAGATGAAGGACAACCATGCAAGCAAGCCGGGTTCTGAAAAGGATTCAGCACGATCGACCATATGCACACGATAACCAAGCTCATTGAGGTTTCTCTGGAGTTCAAGATGCTGCTCTGTCTAACCTTCATTGATTTAAAGAAGGCCTTTGATTCTGTTGAGACAGAAGTAGTCATTGAAGCCCTAGCCAATCAGGCCATTCAAAATCAATACATCAGGATCCTCCATGAGCTGTATTATGGGTTCACTACCAGGATCTCACCATTCTACAAAGAAGTGATCATCGATGTCAAGAGAGGGGTTTGGCATGGTGATACCATTTCACTGAAAGTCTTCAGTGCCACCCTCGAGAAGGTCATGCAATGACTAGAATGGGAAGAAATGGGAGTGAAGATAGATGGTTGTCAACTACACCACCTTCACTTTGCTGATGACATCATTCTAAAACACCAGACATCAGCCAAGCAGCATAAATGCTGACCAACTTCGTGAGTGTGGAAAGGTTGGATTACAGCTGAATCTCATGAAGACAATGTTCATGAGAAACAGTCTTGTTCCTGACATTCCATTCGCTCTCAATGGAATGACCATCTCTGAATGCAACAGTTATGAGTACCTAGGTCGAGAAGTCAACATGACAAATGACCTGGCACCTGAGTTGCGCAGGAGGAAGAGCAGCTTGGAACGCCTTCAAGAGCATTGAAGAAATAGTGAAGAGGATGAAGAACCTCCAGCTCCGAGCATATCTCTTCGATTCTACTGTTCTTCCTGCATTAACATATGCCCCAGAGACCTGGGCCTTACCAAAACAGGATGAGAACACTACTCAGGTCTCTCAAAGGGGAATCGAAAGAGCTATGCTTGGAGTATCATGCTTCATTCAAATGAGAGAAAGAATCTGGAGTTCCGACCTCCGTCTATGCTCAAGAATCAGGGACGCTGTCTCATTTGCCAAGGCATTGAAAATCAGATGGGCTGGACTGGTAATGAGATTTGGAGATGACCCCTGGACTAGAGCCATTACTGACTGGATTCCATTGGGCGTCAAAAGATCGCATGGCCACCCACCTATGAGATGGTCAAACTTCTTCGTCAAGACCCTGAATGATTGTTTTGAGGCTCTTCATGTTCCTAGAATGAGCAGATGCCATTGGGCTACGCTAGCACGCAACAGGGATGAATGGAGATGTTACTGGTGCCCACTCAAGCAAATCGATGAGAAATGGGATATCAAGTGATCAAGTGATACTTTTAGTTCTATTAAAATTATTATTATTGCTTTTTGCTTATAAGTGGATGGACATGGAGAGTATCATGCTAAGTGAAATGAGTCATAAATACAGGGAGAGGGACTTGAGGTATAGTACAGCGGGTAGGGTTTTTGCCTTGCATGCTGCTGACCTGTGTTCGATCCCTAGCATCCATATGGTCTGCTGAGCACCGCCAGGAGTAATTCCTGAGTGTAGAGCCAGGAGTAACCCCTGAGCACTGCTGGGTGTGATCCAAAAAGCAAAAAAAAAAAAAAAAAAAGACAGGGACAGACATAGAATGACTGCACAAAAGAAAAATTGTGGAATATAAAATAACATAGTGCGAGACTAACAGCCAAGGGCAGTAGAGACAAAGGCCAGAGAAGAAGGGCAGTTGGGATAGAGAAGGGACCACTAAGTCAATGATGGTTGGTGGGATCGCTCGGAATGGGAGATGTGTGCTAAAATCAGACAAGGGACCAAACATGATGGCCTCTCAGTGTCTGTATTGCAAACCATAATAAACCATAATGCCAAAAGGGAGAGAGAGAGAGAGAGAGAGAGAGAGAGAGAGAGAGAGAGAGAGAGAGTAAATAGAAAATTATTTGCCATAGAGGGAGGGAGTAGGGGGGATGGGGGTGGCAGGAGGGATCCTGGGGATATTGGTGGTGGAAAATATACACTGGTGGAAGGATGGGTGTTTTTTAATTGTATGACTGAAACTCAATCATGAAAACTTTGTACTGTATCTCACAGTGATTCAATAAAAAATAAAATAAATTATTTATGTTTTAACAATAGAACCAATATGATGGTTTTATACAGGGAGTGCTGCTATACTGTGCTCACTACCAGAATGTCTCCATATTTAGCCCAAGATCCCTTTTCCCTTCCCCACTCAGCCAACACCCTCAGATCCAAGTTTTATTGACTTCATCTCTGTTGTTTCCATTGGAAACTGCCTAATCACTTGCTTTGTTTATACTTCACAAATGAGTGAGATCATCTTGTGTTTATTTTTCTTTCCGATTCACCTCACTTAGCATGGCTCTCTGCAACTTCCAATCCATGTTGCAGCCAACGGAATGATTTCATATTTTCTTGTAGCTAAGTATAAATGCCACATTTTCTCTAACTACTCAGATGATGAGAACTTTAAAACGATTTGTAAAACAGTACTTGGATTTTTTTTAGAGAAGCTAGGCAGTTTTTAAAAATGAAACTTAGAAAGTTGTGGGAGGAGAGAGAGGGGAAATATGTTCAAGAGAATACCAGCAGCAAAGAAGCACAGAGACAAGCATGGGAGATCCTATTTAAGGGGGAACACAAGCTTGAGAGCAAAGCAGTACTTGGAATTATTGTACTAAGTTTTACAAGTGTTTTATATATCTGGTACTAACCCTTTGTTTTAAAAGGTGGGCAAATACATATATCTATCTATCTATCTATCTATCTATCTATCTATCTATCTATCTTAATTCTAACCATCCTCCAGAACTCACAACTGCTTCTCTGGGAAGGGAGCACAAAATGAGGCCCCCATAACCATGCCACTGGACTCTGAGGCAGGCTGTTTCACACGGAGCACCCCAGAGGGGGGCAGGTGAGAGCCCTCCTCACCCCAAGGGACCCAGCCCTGGCAGCTGACCTCCACTATCCAACTGCCACCATGCTCCAGGCTGTTTTCCACATGCTGGGCCAAGCCACACGCATGAGTCAATCCCAAGGAACCCAGGTAATGTGGAACTTTGTGACTTTGGACTCTGGACTCAACGAGACCAGGGAGCAGAGATTTTCTGCCTGCTCCCCGCCCCCCCACCCCGCCCCGTCTCTGGTGACCCAGGGGTCACACCCATAAGCCACTTCCTGCTGGTGCCAGATAATCTCATCGGCCATCCTCCAGAACTCACAGCTGCTTCTGCTGGAAGGGAGTATAAAATGAAGCCCCCATAAAAAATAAATCGTTTCTTTTGCAGTGTAGACATTTCTTAATTTGATATAATCCCATTTGTTTATTTTTGCTTCTGTTTGCTTGGACCATGTCATTGAGTCATTGAAGATGCCTCTAGGTTCAATGTCATCTATGTTTTCTTCAATGTAATTTATAATTTTAGGTCTGATATCGGGGTCTTTAATCTGTTTTCAATTGATTTTTGAGAAAGGTGTGTGTGTGGGGGGGTGGTGAGTTCATTTTATTTTTTTCACATGTGACTGCCAGTTTTCCCAGTACCATCTGTTGAAAAGGCTTTTCTTATTCCACTTAATACTTATAACTCCTTTTTAGATTAGCTGAACATATATATATGTGAACATATATATATATACGTACATATATATATATATATATATATATATATATATGGTCAAGGGTCTATCTCTGGGCTCTCAATACTATTATATTGGTTTGAGGGTGTGTCTTTATTCAGTATTTTACTGCCTTTATTGCTTTATAGTATAATTTAAAGTTTGGGAAAAAGAAGCCTTCTATCTTCCTTTTTCCTAGGATTGTTTTGGCTAGTTGGGGGTTTTTATTATTCTGTATAAATTTCAGCAGCATATGGCCTATTTTTATAGGGACTCTGTTGAATCTGTATAGTTCTTTGGAAAGGATTGTCACTTTGCTGCCCTTCCTTCCTTCCTTCCTTCCTTCCTTCCTTCCTTCCTTCCTTCCTTCCTTCCTTCCTTCCTCCACCACAAGCATGAAACAGATCTGGCCACCAAGCCAGGAATCAAGCTAGGATAAGGACCATCTTCTTTGCCCCTGTCTAATACAAGAGCAACCCCAATGAGGGTGTCTCTTTGCCCATTGCCAGGGGCATTATAGTTTTTTTCTAATAGGTTAAAAATATATATGATAAATATGTTTAATTTGTATAGAGAAATAATAGCAGAAGTCAAAATGTATGTTTTGTATGTGACTAACTCCAATTCAATCCCTGGCATTGTATGTAGTCTACCAAGTCTCAGGATTGTTCCCTGAGCACAGAGCTAGGAGTAAACCCTGAGCATGACTGGATATGGCCCACCCTTCCTCCTCAAAGATTTGTTCATTTTGTAGAAGTCTTGAAAATTTAGAGAAAACCACGAATCATCTCAAGATATCAATTATACTAGTTAATATTTTTGTATATTTTCCTGTAAAATTAAAAACATTAAAAAATTTTAGACATTGTGACAGAATATTGCTAATGATAAAGTTTCATGCATACAGTGCTCCAATACCACATCCTTTACCAGAGTATTCCCCTTCTCAATTGACCCTTCCCCATAGCCCTAACATGGTAAAGTAAGTTCTTGCACTAAAATGTATTTTTGAATTCAGTATGAATGTAGTCAATACTTAAACTGTATTTAAATTGTACTTTGCCATTTAGCATTCTGTTAGGAGTATGCAACAAAGATGGGAATGGGTTTAACAATCTCTCTCTCTCTCTCTCTCTCTCTCTCTATCTTCTTCTTCTTCTTCTTCTTCTTCTTCTTCTTCTTCTTCTTCATCATCATCATCGTCATCATCATCTATCTATTTTCATTAATATGAATACAACTTTTGTGTCTCACTTTCTTAAGCTTAGACTCCATAAGTCTGAGGGTACTACAGACCTCTAAGTCAGAGGGCCAGACACCTGTTGACTGTTATTCCATGTTGATTTTACTAGTCTTCTTTGCCAGCAGAACTAATGATTTTTTCTTTAGGCTTTTTTCTGTCCTACATGATTCAAGAGACAGTTACCTAATCTGTGACTTATAGCTCATGTCTTGACTTGGCTATTAGGAAAGCACTGAAAAAGATGATTCTAAAACTTTTAGACCTCTCTACTTTTTTAAGTACATTTGAGTTGGATTTCAATGAGATTGAAAGACTAAGGTCATATTTTGACATTGTTTTGACTTTCAAAATTGCAGTATGTGGTAGGTTAAGGATGTTACAAGTCAGACTTGAGATGTATTCAGTTCTCTAGTTCCTGTCACTTTCTGCCCACTTCTGTCCTCTGTCCCGCAGAATATTGACAGTTAAATAGGAAGATCTAGGTTCTAATTATTGTTCCCTAGTTGTGTAAATGAGCTACTCCTGCCAACCTCCTACAGTTTCACTGGGAATTAGAAGAAGGAGGGTATGTATTAGGGATAGCAAAGGAAAAGTTAAACCTTTTTAGAATTGTAAGAAGGATGACAAGACGGGAGAAGAGGGAGGGGGAGGCAGCTATTGAGAGAAGAAGCTGGGTGCAGTGAGAGAACAAAGCATTCGGTTGTGCATTTCCTGAGGTCCTTTTCCAGTTAAAATTCAGATTGTGAAGTAGTGCAGGTAGCTATACTCTTCAGGGTAATTTGAGAGGAAGATTGTTGCCTCTTCTCCCTTTGAACATAATCAGAGAGAAAAAATAATGCAATGTGATCAGGCAAAGAGTAGGGAGCTGCAATTAGTTATTTAGAGTAATTTCAATGCAGCACAGATTTTCAAGCAAGTGCCACTGGACTTGCTACAGTCCAGGAAAGGCAGACATGGAAGGGATATTTGACCATGGGTTGGGAGGGGGACTTGCTGATGCTCTGATTCTTTAATAGTGAGCTTCAGGATGAGTTTTTCAAGTATTTCTAACACACTCAAACATGAGAGACCAGACCTTATAAGTTGCAATTCACACTTATAACTGCAAGTGGGGTGCTCTGGGGGTCAGAGAATGGCAGTTAAACAACAGTTAAAATCTGGCCAAGGCAGGAATCTATCTCTCTTTTCCCCTTAATGACACCACTTACCTCTCAAATGAACGTGAAATTTTTTTTAAGTTGGGAGTGGGGAGAGATGTTTTAACATAGTCCTTATAACTGTAGTTTATAATTAATAACAAGCAGTGTACATTTAAGTTAATATAAAGAATACAGTGACAGCATTTTTGAGCTGACATATTTTTCTGTATTTTGGTTTATTTCTTGTATGAGATTTTTGCAATGGGTTTTCTAATTCCAGTAAAATATTTCTTCTGGGTTTATGTCAAACTATCCTCCCGCCAAACTCACTCCTCATTTACATGGCTTACTTGCACCAGCATATCGTTTCCAGTTGTTTTGCACCTTCTCCAGCGTTTAAAATTATTAAACATGTTTCTACTATAGTAAGTGAAAAGCATTTGCTTAATTCTAATGTGTGTTTCTTTGATTATTGGGTCAATGGGGTTTAAAGAATTCAATTTCCTCAGTAATGATTGTTTAATGGTCATAATTTATTATTTTATTGCTCACAACATACAAAATTTGTTACCTTTTGAAAGTCAAAAAAATATTTGTTTACTCCAGAATAAACTTGCTTAGTAGATTCAATCCTTAGCCCTTGGCTCCTGGGGGGAGGCATTAAGAAGCAGAACAAAGGCCAGGCAGAGTCCCTTTTGCCCACAGGCACCATGTTCAACTCCCAGGAGGGTGTTGCTATTCAGAAGCTCATGGAATTCCTGGAATTCCTTTGGGGTAAACCCAATATTCAGTTTTAGATCCTGTTTCTATCCTGTGGTTTCTTGGTAGCCCGAATACATTCTCATTTACAAGCTTCCCACCCACATTCTGAAAGACAGACATTTTACAAAACAAACAGTATAACCCCCTCCCCTTGAACAGCCTCCAGCAGACAATATTGTCAAGTTTCCTTGCTTTGATCTCCTTTTCCTTTGCTTGCTTGCCCTCAATGAATGTGTCCCAGCAGGTGTGGGCTGCTGCTCTGACCTGCCCGGCGGGTGTGCTGGGCCCTGCTCTTCTCATCAAGTTGCCCCACACTGTGCTCGAGGTTCCTGTCATCCCACAGACTGTCTCCACTCTCCTTTGGAAGTGAGTGTCTGAGGATTCTACAGAGGTTCAGAAGGAAGGCGGAGCCCTTGGCCTAACCCTGCCTTCCTCCACTTTTCACATATAGTGTGATGTGACCTGTCCTCACTGACCTCCGGGACTTAGAGATCATTCTTGGATCTTGTCGAGGAGAGTAAAACTTCTGTCATACTTGTCTTCTGGAAAGCTTGCCCCTAGCTGCTCCCGGAGCAGATCTGCTTCAGGACAGATCTGTTCCATCAGGTTGTCAGTCTGTCCTGCCTAAGCCCTTTATCTAGTATTGCTGGACTACTGCAGCACTGTCCTCCTGCCGTTCATTGATTTGCTAGAGCAGGCACCAGTAACATCTCCATTGTAAGACTTGTTGTTACTGTTTTTAGCATATCAAGTATGCCATGGAGAACTTGCCAGACACTGCTGTGTGTGGGGGGGGGGGGAGGGGGGAAACTCTCGGTAGCTTCCTGGGCTCTAGGAATCCAACCCAGGTAGGCCACTTGCAAGGCAAATGCCTTACCCGCTGTGCTATCGCTCCAGCTCATGCTGGACTACACATGTGCTTAATGTTAGGGTTTTTCAGAGTTAGAAAAAAATTCCCAAATAATCTTATAATTTTAAGGTGGAAATTGATAACAGAAGGAAAAAGAATTTTTTTCCCACCAAAGTTATCTTTTATTTTTTCCAAGTTATCTTTTCTATTGTTATCAAGGCTATGACTGCCAGTGCAGGAGGCATGAGGTACCAGGGCTGGAACCCAGAGGCTTGGATATGTAAGGCATTTGTACTATTTCTTGAGCCACTTCCCTTGCTCCAAACAAATCTATTTAATTAGGTGTATTTAGGACCTCCCTCTTTACCCCCACACTCAACTTTCATTGAGTTGAATTTGCATGGACACATAACCTTGTAAGTTGGTAGTTTTGAAAGACAAATTTTCCCTTAAGATATGATTGTTTCCTAACATGGCATATTTTTAAAGGGATGTGGATTAATAATTTGGCATCTGTTTGAATAGCATCATAGTTTTCCTTAAAATGTAGTTTTTATCAATAACCATGCAATTGAGTGCCATTTTTGGGGTGTAAAAGTGAACTTTATTTTTTTTTTATTTTTTGTTTCTCCAGTATCAGAGGGCAGAGTATAGCACAGATCACAGCTGAAGTGTTACCACACAGTTGTCAGAAATGTGAGTACCAACACTTTTACACAGATTCTTGGGCCATGATGGCTGTTAGAACTCCAGGCATCAGTCTTTTATATGTTCCTGAGAGTGGAGGTAAAAAGAGAAGGGAGTGGGGAGTGAAATATGAGCCTCTTTGGTCAAACTAACATTGTTTAAAAGAGACTCATAAGATCCAATGCAATAAATTTTACCTATTCTGTGTACAAAAACTAAAAAAAATCCCACACCTTATGTTCAGTAGGAGGGCTGCTGGATATGGTTCTGATATGGATTGAATGTCTTTTTGTGGGGTGCGGGTGGGGCAGGTGTGGCAAAACCAAACAAAACCAAACAAAACCCCACCCTTTTTTTTGGCCTGGGTTTCTAGCAGAGCCCAGGGAGCCCTAGAGGTGACCTCTGGTGATGTTGGGCCTAGTGCTATTTGGGTCCAGCAAATTTGAGGGTTACTGAGTCTTTCTAGCTGTACTCGGGGAACCATGCTGTGCTGGGAATTAAGCCAGGGGCCTCTGTATGATGCCAGCAATGTGGTCCAACCATTTGAGTTATCTCCTGGGTCCCATTTAAACACCTTAATCTATTTCACTTATCCTCTCCCCCATTCTTCTCTAGTTATCACCAATCTCTTTTTCGCATCTAAGACTTTGTTTTATGTGTTCGCTTTTTCCTTTAATTTCCTCATGTAACCACAGATCACTCTATTTTAAGACTTTGTTTTCTTGCTTTGTTTCTTTATCTTTCACATAAATGAAGAACTCAACTGATATTTATTTTTCTCCATCTATCTGATTTATTTTTCTTAACATAATGGCCTCTAGTCTCTTCTGTGG